AGTTCACTAACTTTCTATTTGACAGTGAAGATCATTCACAATGACTTGCAGTTGTCCTATATTCATATCTTCTAGCATACGTTGAGTAAATGACTTTTCACTATGATTATGAATACCAATCTAAAATGATAAATAATTAAAATGAGAAAATATTTCTGTTTTGAAAATCTTCTATCGGCATACAATATCAAATATTGGTGATTTCTTCTTTTTTGTTTCTCGTCGTTCAATTTCAACTTGCATTTTAGCCATTGGATGAATAAGGGCAAGAGCCATTTTCGCTTCTTCCTTTACAAAAAGATAGGAAAAATCAAAACATTTTTGAAAGTCGTAAATAAATTTTTTAAACTGAATACTCACTTTTAGTTTTTTTTGTTTAATGAGTATATTGTCGTTATCTACGTCTTCAGTATTATTTAATGATGACTGATCAGAACTGTCATTTGACTTTTGTTTTAGATTTTCCCTTAATCTTAACTGAATCTAAATCATTAAGAAAAAAAGATTGTAAATTTCCCATAATCATTGGTTAAGAAACCACTTGAAACACTGCTACTTTCTCAATCGTTTAATTCATTCATTATTTACAACTTACGAGGAAACCACTCCACCTATCCGATCGCTTTTTTCATGAAACCTAGTGGACAATAGGTAATCGAGTGTGCTGAATCCGAATATCATAGTGGTTTTGGCGTCTAGGCTTCCAGAGGCCGGTTTTCTGGAAAACCAGCTTTTCAGAAACTCTAAAAGCTAACTAAAACCTTTCTTAGCGAGGTATAATTGTAGTCCGTGCATTTCGGATTAAAATGAGACATCTCCCAGCTCTACACGATCTTTCTTTGAAAAGTTAGAGAATTTATAAGAAGAGCCCTAAATGTTCATTGTCAGCTCAAAGCTACAGATATAAGAAAGTAATTTAGGACTTTCCTTGTAAATTTTCTAACTTTTCAAAGAAAGATCGTGTAGAGCTGGAAGATGTCTCATTTTAATCAGAAATGTACGGGCTACAATTATGCTTCATTAAGAAAGGTTTTGGTTATCTTTTAGAATTTCTGAAAAACTGATTTTCGAAAAAAACCGGTCTCTGGAGGCCTAAACCACTATGATATTCGGATTCAGCACACTCGATTGTCTATTGTCCACTAGCTATCGTGAAAAAAGCGATCGGACAGTTGGAGTGGTTTCCTCGTTAGACTGATTTACCTGATGGTATGCTCGTTCTTCTTCATTAAAACATTCATCATTGGATCCACAATCGTTATCGCTTGTTTGATCGTTTG